GGATCCTAGAAGACTTTCACTTGTCTACATGTTTAAGTAAATCTGGGGCTGTGATGGGAAAGCACTGGTTTAACGTCCTAAATTAATGTGAGAGGTTGGTTTTTAAGGATCCTCCTACTCACTCTCTAGTATGAGGTTAAATCATGACGGCTTGACCCCCTTACTTTTGCATGGTAAGCCACAAAGCTCAGTGGACACAGTGAGCAGAGCATCGAACTCTGCCTTGGAAGCTGATGGCAGTATGTTTCTTAAAAACTTGAAAGTGTTTTTCTCTTTTTAGTTCACAGGGACCTCATTTAAGGGAGAGAACATGAAAGGGGAGAAAGAAAATGGGTGCCAGAGAGGGGGCAGGGTCTAAGCTGGTGGTTGCAGCCAGCCAGGGATGAGACCCACAGCTGGAACTGAGACTGTGACAAAGAGCGTCACACCTCGTAGCCATTTCTGTTCATTTGAGTTTTCCTTTCAAGTATGTGTGCACCCTTCCCTGTGTGCGTGCAGAGCGGCACGAGTGTCCGGGGGGAGCCAGCTCCCAGAGGGTGGGAGTGAAGCGTCAAGAGCCGCCCTCCCACCCCAGACGCGTATATTACAGACAACATGCACAGTTTTGGGATTTGCGTCAGTTCTGTGGGGCTTCTCTTTCACAGACGGACTTCTAGGAGTTTCTGGGGAAATGAAATTTCTGAATAATATCCTGGCTCTTCTGACTAAGCCACTAAGGCAGAAAGGAGGAGAGAGATGGTCTTGGACCTCCATCTGGATGAACGCAGCCCTCCTCATTGGACGCACATTTATGGGTCAACTTTGAGTCTTCCAGAGTTTTTCCACAACAAGCAGAGGCCTAACCTTTAAAAGCTGTTTTCTGCTTTGCTGCATTTCCTCGTGTCCCATTCTATTAGCATGGAAGCTTGAGGTGATTTTGACTCCACACTGCCGCTCACTCCAACATCAAGGAAACCCAGGGTGTACGTTTATCACCCCTGCGTCTCTTTTACCACTTTCCCCCCCATGGCTGTGGCTTAGAGCACAGCTGGCTGGATGCGCATGGGGATGCCTTCTCGACCCCAGACCCACTGCAGTGAGAGCACCGGCTGCCCCACCTCCAGTCTCTCCCCAGGCGGACCCGAGGAGCCTCTCACAGGAATCCTGATAAAAACCCAAAGGAAGAGGGGCTATTGCTCCCTTCTGTTGGAGGTACCTATTGAAGTTGCTGAACTTGCTCTCAGAGAGCAGTTAGCAATGGGGAGGGAGTAGCACAGAGCGAGTGGGGTGTTCACGGACTGGGAGAAACCAGCACACTGGTCAGGAGGTTGAGGCAAAAGAAGAAAGTGGAGACAGAACTAGACCTGGGTTGGGGTCCGCCACTGTATGAATGAATGACCTGTAACTGTGGTGTTAGTTTCATCACCTATAAAATTGGAAGAAGGGTCCCTACCTCGTGGGTTGTTAAGAGAATTCAGGGAGATTATGATGTTGTTGTTACAAAGTGAAAAATCATTTTGGGGCGCCTCGGTGGCTCAGTTGGTTAAGCGTCCAACTTCAGCCCAGGTCATGATCTCACACTCCATGGGTTCGAGCCCTGTGTCAGGCTCGGTGTTGACAGCTCAGAGCCTGGAGCCTGCTTCAGATTCTGTGTCTCCCTCTCTCTCTGCCCCTCCCCTGCTCATGCTCTGTCTCTCCCTGTTTCAAAAATAAAGACTAAAAGTAAATAAATAAATAAATAAATAAAAACAAAATGAAATAGTCTTTGTGGGATTGGTAATTATTGTCTTGAATTCTTTTCTTGGTCCTCACTTCTGGTTCTCTTGATCAGGCCCTGAGCAGCTAATGACTTTCTCTGATCTTCTCATTACCCCTCCCGCTTGTTTTGTAGTGTCAGTGCTGAAGGCTGCGCCATGAGCTCCACGGTGAGCCCCAGCTTTTGAACCGTGGCTTTCTGTGCCTGCGGTCACTTTGAACCCCTCCTCTCCGTCTTCTTCACACCTGTATATTCTCAGTGCTGTGGTTGAGCTGACCTTTCCACATTGCCTGCACTCAGCCCTATGTCCGAGCAGTGTGTGTAATTGAAGCCTCCTTGCCTCCCCATCCAATAGGGTCGTCCTTCTCTACTTTTTGAAGAAGTTAAGAAATCTATCCAGAGGAATGGCAAGAAGTCTGACCTGAGGGTGAGATAGAGTGAAGCTATAACCTCACTTTGTCACTTGCTGGCCTTTCCTACCCTCTGGAGCCTGTCCTTATCTGTAAATTGGATTGTTACCTACCACATGGATGAATCATTAGGAATATAAAAGTAGATAACATGTTTAAAATATCTAGAACAGTGCCTGCCACATAAGTAGGCACTCCATAAATATTCATCTCTCCTTTGCTATTACGTGAAGATTCCCTAACCAAACAGGAAGTCCTGTATATGACAACCAGTTCTCCTGCTTCTTATCCCCATTCTTTGATGCACTCCCCTTCCATCTAGAAATTCTGTGCTTTTGTGAGTTACTTTTCCAGAAATTGGATTTGTGCCTTACCCTTTGGGATGGCCAGTGTAAGTTGTAGAGGGAGCAGGCTAGCCAGGGTTCTAGGTAGATCATCTGTGGCTGTGATACCAAAACTAGCAGGTGTGTGTAGGAATTGAACCCATGATTCAGCTACATCACTGGGTTTGGTGACAGCAGCACCTCGCATTAATGTGTGCACCACTGGCTTCAGAGCACCCACTTTTATTTGATTCTTACAAGGGTTCCGAGAGGTAGGCAGATTCTCACTCTCCAGAAGAAGAAAAGGAAAACTGGGAAGGAGTCCCCTGTGTCACACCGGTAGTGATTGGTAGAACAGGAAAAGACCACAGACGCCTTGATTTTCTATCCAGGACTTCTATGTTTTGAACCCAGATGAGAACCAAAATTCTGGCTGTTCAAGTGAAAGCTTAGAGTTCTACCACAGACCCGTCTAGCTTTCCTGTCACTACTGTATGCTTTGTTTCCATTTCTTACAAGAATATTCATTAACTTATCGAATGAATTACATGCTAGGTAATCTAGACACTGGGGATACTGTCAGAAACAAAGGAAATAGACATGCCCTGATGGAACTTGTCCTAATGGTGGGAGGCTGACAATAAACAAGTTAGAAAGATGTGTACTGTTACTGTAAAGAATGTCACTCGGTGATGAGTGCTATGGAGAGAAATAACAGAGGAAGCTGGGGGTGGGATGGGGCAGACACTGTGAGTTTTCACTTTGATACGCCCTCTGAGAGTGGTCCATCACACCCCAGTACCAGATTTCTACATGTCAGGGCTTTTGGAGACTGGTTTTGAAGTTGAACCAGCTTTACCCAACGAAAGCAGGTGCAGGAGCTGTCTGCTTACCCAGTAACTTGCTCAAGACTACCCCAGATCAAAGCTGGGATAGCCTGGATAGTGCCTTGGAATGCTCTGGTAGGTTGGGGAAGGAGCCTGTGCTGTTTTTTTCTTAGAGATTACTTGTTAAATCTATAGCTCCCCCTGCTGTTAGAAAACAGGGTAGGCTCTTAACTGATTTTTTTTTTTTTTTTTTTTTTTTTTTTTTTTTTTTTTTTTTTTTTAATGATTCTTTTTTATCCTAAGATTTAAGAAAGTTTTGTTTTTTAAATAACTACTGCTGGGACATTTAGATCTTTCTTCTGGGACTGCTGTTGCTGAGGCCCAGCCCCCAGGAGCAGGATGGGGGGAGGAAGCACAAAGGCCCAGGCAGGATAGGGTCATATCTGTGCTCCTGCTACTTTTAGCTTCTCTGTATGCCTGCACTCCTACCACAGCCAGCAGCCTAGCAAAAGTTATCTCCACACACAGTTTCACAGCTGTTCTGAAATTCTAGGGCAGCAGAAGTGAAACTGACCATGGTCTTGTAAATTTCTCTGCTCTTGCTATTGTTCCCTACTTGAAGTGAGTCAGGCCTTTTCATCCTCTTACCCTCAGGGTGTCCCAACTCCTCATTTGTCTTTATAGCCAAGTGTTTGACATAAAACAGTCTTCATGATGCCACATTTGAGGAGATTTGGTCTTGGTTTGGTCTTGTTTGCTGAGTGGAGAGCTGTGGGCTGTGTGGTGGTAGATTCAGACCACAGTTGAGTCCTCGACAGGGCCTGTAGTGAGCCCTTCTTGTCAGCTGCTGGCTGTGTGCACCAGGGTCAACCAGACAGTCACTGTGAAATTCTTTTAGTCCTTAGAGATGAAATTCAAGGTCATTTTAGCTGAAGTGAAAAAGGAAATGGCACCCAACGAGACCTAGGTCTTTCTGGTTTAACTGCCCTGTTCAGTTTGGTCACTTTGTGAGTCCTAATGAGGTTGAAGGAGTAAGGTGGACCCCACACGCAGCTGTGCTCCTCCCAGAGTGAGGTGGGGCCCAGCAGGCATTCTTGGAAGATTGACTGATCAATAAGGATTGTGCAGCTAACAGTCTGGTAACAGGTCCAGGATACTTTTTTTTTTTTTTAACATTTATTTATTTATTTATTTTTGAGAGAGAGAGAGAGAGAGAGATAGAGAGAGAGAGAGAGAGAGAGAGACAGACAGAGCACAAGCAGGGGAGGGGTAGAGAGAGGAGGGAGACACAGAATCCAAAGCAGACTCCAGGCTGTGAGCTGTCAGCACAGAGCCCGACTTGGGGCCCGAACCCATGAATCATGAGATCATGGCCTGAGCCTAAGTCGAATGCTCAACCAACTGAACCGCTCAGGCGCCCCTCCAGGTTACTTTTTTAAGCTATATTCCATTTTTGCACTTTATACAGCCCAGGCTTAGGCAGTGACTATTCTCATTAGGAATAAAGTAACCAGAACTGTTTTAATGGGGCAACTGAACCATAAAGATATGTGCTTACTCAGGTGCCATGTTCTTCTTCACTTCCGCTGATAAGAATTAGTATTTCTAAAATTAACTTGAATTAAAATGCCTTCTCCACCATAAACTATAGCTGTGCACATGATGCTTCGTAAAAGTAATTCTTTCATGATTCTTTTCTCAACAGCTTTGAAAAGTCCAGCTGCGTTTCATGAGCAGAGAAGGAGCTTGGAGCGGGCCAGGGTAAGGCCTTTCTTCCCCAGGGGCCTCCAGAGTGCATTTGCAGAGCCCATTGTATTGCTGCTGTATTCCTTCCAGTCTAGTGCGCCCTGGGGCCAGCCCTCACCTCGTTCTAGACCGGAGGCGCTGCCTTTTTCTATTCTGTCCCCACCCCAGCCACCTTGTGGCACGATCTGAAAACGGGATCAGAATTTCTCTTTTCCTGCACTTAAGGGTATATGATGATTAGCAGTCCTCTCTCTTGTGGCTCTGGAGACCGCTGGTATTTCCCCGTCTTTAATTCCACTTCACCTTTTGTGGATGTTAGAACGTGAACAGCAGCCATTGAAAAGCTTGCTGAGGGCTGGTCCTCCCGAGTCTGTGTCTGCACTGCCCACACCTCTCCAGGACGGGGATTCCGAGGGACAGAAAAGGTCTCTGTTGCCCAGAGTAGCCAGTGTCCACTCAAGGCTGTGGAGGCAGAAGCAGGGCCCCTGTCTGAGCCCCAGTTCATGTTGCTGCACCTGGCCTGCTGCCTTGTCCCCCTTCAGTTTCAGTTCCCTCAGGGGCCTCAGGGGGATATTCTGCTGCCCAGTGTGGGCAGAGATGGGGAAGTCACCAGAACATGCTTCCCCTCTACCCCTTCACTTTTTTCTTTTACAAAAAGGCAAGGAAAGAGAACCTCCCAGTAGAGGACCCTATAGGCCATGGATCCTTAAGACTCCCAACTCTTTCAGAGACTGAAATATTTACCTCTAAGACTTTCTTACTGTCTTTATTTTATTTTTTTTTAATTTCTAACAAGAATTATGAGTAATTCTTAGAGTGAGCGGGAAGAATGAGGTCATGGACACGGGGAACGAAGCAGCAACAAACTGTGCTGTTGGAGTTACTGGGAAGAGTGGAGAATACGGCAGGGGTGGGGGGGCGATGGCATTGCCCATGCCCCCATCCCACTTGCAATAAGACTTGGTGCCATTACCTGGACTGCTTCGCAGTAGGCAAGGAGTTCATTGGAGCAGATTAGAACAGCTCTTATTTTACAGAGTACTTTTATAAGCAGCACGACATCATTTTGTGGTTGATGCTCACCTCAGCTCTTAACGAGTTAGGTGCTCTTCGTCTTCATTTCATAGATGCAGCTAAGAGAGGTTAACTAAGTTACACAGCTAGTAAGTAGCAAAGCTGGGACTCAAACTTTGGCCTGTGGATGCCACATATTTTCTTAATTAGTGCCGTATTCTGCCTTGGCTTTGGCCACTGTTCCCAACTTCAGGTGGCTTAGAAAAGAAGACTTGTGGCGTCCAACACCTGTTCTGCCACCTGCAGCAGCCATGGCAGTACTCTTGCCCTCTGCAGATGGGGCAGAGCGATAGGCCCAGAGCCCACAGCCACTTTAAACCGTCTCCTAAAGAGCTCAGCACCACCCCAGGGCTGGCACACGGCTGCCCAGTCGGAGCACCAAGTCTTCACCTTTACCACACACTGTGTGCTCTGGTTTTTTATTTTCCGCTCTTGCCGACCTTGTCCTGTCCTATGTTGTCTTAGCCTGCCCTGTGCTGGTTTTGACCCGGTAATGGTCTTGACCTATGGTTTGAAAAATTCTGGTGCAGAGGTTAAGAGCATAGACTCTGGAGTCAGATGGATCTGGGGCCACCTGTACATTAGAACACAAGCACCAGGCATGTGCTGGCTCAGAGACTGTTAAGGGAATGGTTTCGTTCACCTGGAGTTGCAGAAATGCCGAAATGAGGACACTGGACTTTAGGGAACTAGGGCTATGACACCATGTATCAGAATTAGTATTCCATATGGCAGCCACTCAGAATGAGTGGGAAATGTTCATGAGATCATACAGTGCTACCTTTTTTTGAACAAGGCATAAAATTATATTCAGTATGATTACAACTCTTTAAAATTAGACATCTTCTGCCTGGAAGAATGGAAGAAATAAATATCCCAAAATACTAAGTGGGTGATTAAAATTTTTTGTTATTGTTTCACTTTCTAATTTTCTAAATTTTCTTTGATGAACATAGTTACTACTTTTATGATAGTACAAGTAATAAACTTTTAAGAAAAAATTAGTGTTCAGCCTCAGAGAGACAAATAGTCTGGATAGATGGGTGGTGCCCTGGGCAGGTGCATTGGAAATGGATGTGCCCCTTCCCCCAGAACTCCCCTTCCCTCAGAACCCTGCAGGCTCCAGGCTGAGATCAGGGGGGCCTACAGAGGTGACCAACCACAGACACAGCAGCCATGGCTGCTTTTTGGTTCTGTCCATTCCATAACTTGTATCCTGGATTTGAGATCTTCTTGGTGTGTTTTTTTCTGTAGACAGAGGACTATCTGAAACGGAAGATTCGTTCCCGGCCGGAGAGATCGGAGCTGGTCAGGATGCATATTTTGGAAGGTGTGTTAGGCTGGAAATGCTTCCTCCCCTTACCCTCGCTGTTTTCACCATGCATCACCCACATGTCTTTTTCCCTCTGTCTTATCACTCCCATTTCTGGCGACAGTGGGTAAGCCGAGCCTTAGGACGGTAAAACAGCAGGGCTGTGGTAGCCACCGCTGCTTCTGAGAGTTCCCAAAGCAGCAGTCACATTCTCTCATGCCGGCTTGCCCTTTTCTCCTCTGGCTGTGTGGTGGCCCCGGATCTGGTCGCCCCTTGGTATGAAGCCTGTTCTCCAGAATCTTTTAAAGATGCAGTTACTGTCTCTTCTCCTCCACTCATTCACTCGCGCCTTCATTCAGCAGTCACTCAGACCTCTGTGACGCAAGTGGGCCCATGGCAGGTATGCTCCGCCTGACCCCATCACACACTTCTTTCCACATTCTAGTGAAGGAGCAATTCTGGCTGCTGAAAACACTGTGACTCAATTCTTTGTTGTTGTTCTGTATTTATTTATTTTTTTATTTGAGAGAGTGCACGCATGTGCAGGAGCATTAGAGAGGGGCAGAGGAAGAGAGAGAGAATCTTTTTTTTAAAGAACCAGTGCGTCCTTTTTTTTTTTTTTTTTT